ACACTCTACATTTCCTCTTCTTTCAAAGCCTATGATTTGTGGATCTTACCTGAGTTTGGTTTTAATTACTGGATATTCTTTGCTTTCTGTATGATATCGCTACAAGTTCAAATGATTGAAATAGAGATACAACAGTATAATAGGATCAAATATTTGGGAGATGAAAGTAGACTAGATCAAACTTAAAACACACCTTTACCTGGGAGAGTGGTTAACCATCTCAACAGCTTAGCATGCATCATATGGATTCTCTCACTAATGGTTTGTTGAGACTATATGTTTTACTGAAAGATGAAATTACTGAAGAATAAAGTTAGGAATTAGTTTAGGGATGTGTAATACAAAAGAACAGATCAGAAGATTACAGGGATCATTTCACTCCTATTTTAGGAACCTCCGGAGTACAGTTGAGTTCAGATCCTCTTCTACAAGGCTAGAGGCTGCTCAGTGCCCATTGTCTCAGTGTCTTTGCTGTCTGTCTCCTTTCTTTGGGCTGGTGCAGGGGAATATAATAATGCTTATCTTCAGCAGGTTCTGTTCTGTTACCTGTAATACACAGACAAGGCTTGCGATGAATCTCCGTCTGCCCTGTATCCTGCTGTGATCCTTTTTCAAAGTGGGATAAATTCAAAGGTGCATCGCCTTGGTGTCAGAGGTTTGATTCTGCTTAGGGAGAAGAGGCTTGTGTGTGATGGAGTAGCTATGTCCAAGAAGGCTGATGGTATGACCTACAAGATCACATTAGACAGATGGATCAGATTGTACACTTCAAAGGCTTAAAGATATGCAAGCAGTCCCTTTGGTCATTTGAATTAGCTCTCACTGTGTAAAACCTGGAGGAAAAAATAATGATTTGTTAGTCTACCAGCTGGAAAGAACATCCATGCCTTTAGCTGCTAGATAGTGGACATTTTTGTCTCAGTTATTAATTGAACTTGCAAACCTGAGATTCAAAAATAACCGTTCGGCTCTGTGGTTTTGCTGACCCTTATGACTGTATCACTGTTCTGATTCATGTTCTTCTGAGATATAGGATTCACATTATTTGGAACTGGCTGAGAAGCTTGGATATCCCATTACCCAGTGACTATCAATTTTGTCTCTCAACCTCATGCAGATCTGTGTTTCCTTCTGCCAGCTTTTCCTTCATTCCTTCTAATTCTGTACAAAGTGCATTAACTTTGCTGAAGTTCCACAATGCAAAAATGGCCCCCGTTTCCTTCCAGGTACCGTGTGCCAAGTGTATTCCATCAACAGGGCAAAATCAGGCAGGAGAAAGCTGCAGTGCTTCTCTGCAAACACATTGTGGTATAAGGCTTGGGAGCAGGGGCAAGGCCAACAGCATCTCAATCTGAATGCAATGGAGATTACAGAAAAAAATGCCTGAAGTCTGGATTTTTGAAGGCATTTCGATAACCAAGATGTTCAAAACAGTTAGTGCCTCTTTTTCATGGCCCTTTTACCTCTGAAATGAAATGAAACCTGGAGCTTAAAGCTAAACCTTTTAGGACCTTAAGTCTTACTGACATTGATGAGATTTACACTCCCAAATATGTCTGTAAATCCAGGTCTCTTCTGGAAATTCCAGTGTGTGGCTGCCTGGTCTTTAGCAGCTGGTACTCTGAAAAATATATCTCTTGATGGCTTAAGTTCCTGAAGTACTAAGGCCTTTGGAAGTCCAGAAGCTATCCAGAGCTTAAAATCTTTTCAGCACCCCATAGGGACTAGTAAAAGTTCTTCCCCATCAGATTTTTTTTCTTCTTTTACTTTTTTTTAATTTTATGCTAAGTATATAATCCTTGAGTCATCATACCTTTGAGGAATCTAACACAGAACAGACTAGTGCTCCATTAGTTGGCTTCTTTTATGGAATTCAAGACTGTTCAACAGTTTAGTAAGCCTATTTTATTACTAATGACTGAGAAATTCCCAGTATTAGTCATCATAGAAACCTAGAATTTACTCTGTTTTTTCCAAAGGCTTGAAATAAATACAATAAGAACCTGCTTAGATATCTACACTACCATGGGTTAGTAAAAAAAAAAATCCAAGAAACAAACCACACAACAACAACGACAAACTCCAAGCCTTGAGCCTTTTGCAATAATACATTTTTCCAAGGCAAAAATATCACCGGCTTCCACTAAGACTTTTTCAAAATCATGTTTCAGCACTTCAGTTCTTCCTGCTGCCTCTTTTTGTTTGTCCTAGCAGTATCCCTATGCCTGACCTTAACATTTTGGATGAATTATCAGACACAAGATGGTCTTTTATATATGATGGAGTTTAGTCTTTGCATGGTGAGATTTGTTGATGCAACAAAAATTACATTCACTTGTAAAGTAGCTCAGTGCAAACATCTATTGTGTACGAGCCTGTTCTGTTTACTAAAATTTGTCCCTAAATCTTTAAGCCTAAAACTGTACATATTTTGAAACATTCCCTTGTATGGAATCTCATATTTAACAGTTTCATGGGGTTGTTTCTTTGGAAGTAAAAGTGTTTCTCAAGAGCCTTTTTTTCTACCCGCTCCCAGTGAAAAGAGGAGAGCAAAGCCATCCGCTTACCACAAAGCAGTGCCACCACAAAGGAAAGATTAAGGGTTTAGAGAGAGGTCAATGTGGGTTTTTCTCTAACTAAACACTTTCCTAAAGTTTCCTTGTGGAAAAAATAATGAAGTCATCTCAGAGTTTTTAAAGAATTTTTATTTCTTTTTCACCGTCTGCATTCGCTTGTCTTCTCAGCATGGATGTTTAATCTTTCTAGGCTTTGTGAATTGGTCCAAATGAATAAGTGGTGAGCTGTCTCTCTAGGAGCTAGAGGCTTATTCTAAGGCCCTAATCACTGAGTAAACACATCTTTGCCCTCCCTCTCTTACAACTGCTATATAATAGTCGAGATTCTAGCACAGTAACCTGGATATTGCAGGGATCGACGCTTTGAAATGCAGAATGGCTGATCCTCAAAAACAGACAGTGCCTGATCTTCCCCTGCCTCTTTCTTCTTTTTAAATTAAATATCACCACAGAAATGCTGTTTTATTGCTTGATATTGTGCATCAGTGCCCTGGATTTTCAAGTTTAGTTTCAGTCAACATTGTTGGCTGCACTTATATGGATCTCTGCATGTTGGGCTTATTAATGGCCCTTCCTGGCACATGTGTACGTGGTTCTGAAGAACATTTAAATTAAATTAGACAAACATTAATGCAAATTACTAATCCCTTTCCCAAAGTCTAATGTTCAAATGTATTCTTCTTCTTATAAACAGTCATTAAGTTTTATCCAAAGCCAGTATATGAGGTGATAGCCATACAGGTTTTTACAAAGGCAGCTTGTCTCAAAATTGCATCCCGTGACTTGCTATATTGATAATCATAAAAATTTAGTGTTCATTGTTACTTCTGATGAAGAGAAATGACTTTAAGTAAAAGTCTGAAAACAGGATTTATCATATTGTCTGAGCAAATATGTTCAAGTAAGATTTTAAAATAAAGTAACATATATGGGTATAGGGGAACAGAAAGTTGTTATTTTCTGAATGGTGTTTGTAATTCATTGAATACCAGATAGAGGATCATGGTTCTTAAATAGCTTATAGTTTCCCTATATTTTCCTCAGTCTGCTTTCTATCTTTACATACACATAGACTGGCTTTCCAGAAGGTGGTCTGAGGTTATCATGGGGACACAGCACAGCTCTGTGCTGCTGGCAGCAAAGCTCAAATACTACTTGATAGGTTTTCAGAAGAACATTTTGTTTTCAGAGGCCACAAACATCATCCTCAACATTGACTCTTCACTGACATGATAACTATGATGAGATATATCAGCTCTCACAAACTTAATGGGGTATTTGATCCGTGTCTACCGTACCCTTTCCCTTACGTCTTACACATTTGCAGTGCTGGGTTGAAAGCTGGACCTTGCTCCTCAGCTCCACAAGAGAGGTAGCCAGCAGGGCTGACGTGGCCTTTTGGCCAGCTACACATCGACTTATGGCAACCTTCCAGTACCTAAAAGGGGGCTCCACAAGGGAGGTAGCCAGCAGGGCTGACATGTGGCCTTTTGGCCAGCTACACATCGACTTATGGCAACCTTCCAGTACCTAAAAGGGACCTACAGGAGAGATGGGGAGGGACTCTTTATCAGGGAGTGTACTGATAGGATGAGGAGTAATAGTTTTAAACTGAAAGAAGGTAGATAAAGATTAGATATTAGGAAAAAATTCTTTCCTGTGAGGGTGGTGAGACACTGGAACAGGTTGCCCAGAGAAGCTGTGGATGCCCCGTCCTTGGAAGTGTTCAGGACCAGGCTGGATGGGGCTTTGAGCAACCCGCTGTAGTGGGAGGTGTCCCTGCCCAGGGCAGGGGAGTTGGAACTTGGTGATCTTTAAGGTCCCTTTCAACCCAAACCGTAGTTTGGTCTCACCACATCTTACAGCTGGATGGAGAGCTGCCAAAACATCCAGCGTGTAGCATCTCAGGCATTGGGACTGTAGGCAGCTGTATTGTTACTCACTCATTTGGCTACTGAGGGGGCAATAACAACACACTGTCACTTTTTTAGGATTTTTATAATTGTTTTGTATTGTAGATGCTGTTGCATCAAGAGGTGTGTTCCTTGCTCAGGGAATAGTTCCAAATGTTATTTTTGTTGGGCAGCAAGCCAAAAAAGTTTGTGCATTTCTTAAGCTGTCTGTTAATAAGGTTTTTGGTTTTTGTTCAGTTGTTGTTATTTTCATCTTGTAAGCATATAATATATCATGTTTTGCCACGCAGAAGAAAATATTAGGAAGCATTGAGAAGATTTACGGATTTGGATGGGTGGACCATTTCAGTCTACTGGGGTTTTTTCCCCCCTTTGTGTGCATGTTGAGATACTCAGCACCCTCAATAGATACCATAGGGTGTACTAACAGACAAATCTGCAGCAGTAATTTTAAATTACTAAATAGCCTGTGGAATTTTTCACTGATCAATATTTTCTCATGTCTTTTCAGAGAAAGCTTCTTGCTATCTACCTCCACCATGATGAAAGTGTACTAACCAATGTCTTCTGCTCACAAATGCTTTGTGCTGAATCTATCGTCTCCTATCTGAGTCAGAACTTCATCACTTGGGCATGGGACATGACAAAAGAAGCAAACCGAGCAAGGTAAGACTCTTTGGACTATGAGACTCTTTGGACTATTTTCTCTCATGGAATACTGCTATTTCTGTGTATCAGATCTCTTGTTGCTTGATACTATTTGAACTAAGAACTTCATGCTTGTTCTTAGCTGATCAATGAAGCTCTGCTGGCTGATGCTCACTGAGAGTTGGACCACACTTATTTTCATTGCAAAGTAACTTCTTATTCTTGCGCAGGAAAAAACAGTTGAAGAAATTATTTCCTCTTTTGGCGGGGGGGAGGGCAGTATTTTGCACACAATAGTTCTGGGAATGTGTCTTCACAGTTTTGCATTGCATTGCCATTATATTATGTGACCCTAATTTATGTATGTAGGTGTAACTGCATTAGAACTGTCTGGAGTAATAACTACTGTTGTTATTGAAAATCTTATTTAAAAAATAATATGCATGTGATAAATTAATATAAAAAACAGATTATGCAAAAAATTAAAAGCTCGCAATTCATATTAACTCTTTTTGAACTACAATTTTCTTATAGAACAATCCTTTGGTGATGTTCAGATATTTCAATAGGTTTTAATATTATAAAAGCTATCCTATGTCTTAGAGAGACCATCATTTTGCTGATTAGTCAAGAAATTAAAAAAACTGTAGATTCCAAACTGTAGATTCCTTCTACATCTTTTATGTTACCAACAACTCATCTTTATATTAAGGCCTCTCTCTTATTAGCTATTTATCAGCTGATAATTATCTATTGAAAGTAATGGTTTTATGATTATACTTATTGTATTTAGAAATCAGACTTGTTTGGTTTTGTAACTTGGATCTTATTTCATCACTTGTGTTTACACAGAAGATGACTGCTTTCCAGGATGATGTTTTGCGTATATTGCTGTAATGAACGTTATTCTAACTTTTGAACAAAAGATGCAACAGTCATTTGGGCTGGGATAAAGTTGCCACTTTTTTTACACAATTCCATTGATTATTGAACAATTAGAAGTACATATTTGTTTCTTTCTCTTGTGGCTTGCTAGAATAGAGCATTCACGCATTCCTGTTCTTAAATGTGTAATTATATTTAATATTTCTTTACCGAAAGTGGGCACAGAGAACAGAACAATCTCTTTTTCTAAAACACTTTTTAGATGAGAGTTGTGTTGCACAGGAATTCCTCACTTGACCTTCTGCATTTTGTCATTGGACGAATCAGCAGCAATTTTCCTGCTTTAAGCGATTCTAGAGAAGAGTTAAATATTATGGAAAAAGCAGTCGCAAAAACAGATAAAAAGTTTGAATCAGCAGCAATTTTCCTATTTTAAGTGATTCTAGAGAAGAGTTAAAGATTACGGAAAAAAGCAGTCGCAAAAACAGATAAAAAGTTTTTTTAAAAAAAAAAAAGAAAAGAGAGAGAGGAAAAAGAAACATCTAGGTTCTTTCATGGGACCAAATACATAGACTGGAAAGTTGCTTAAGTCTTTTGGTATTGCCATTCATGGGCAGTAAGGAGCCTCCTCCTTTTCTTTTATCCCACAAGTTGGTGTAGAAGGAAACACTATTTCTAAACCATCTGTAGTGGCTAAGTTCAGTTGACTACCTGCTGTTCTATTGTCCGCTTTCCTATTTAATTCTCTAGTTTCTTTTATTTTACAATGACAAAAAATTGCAGTGTAGTTTCTTTTGAAAAACTGTGTTTGAGGGGTTTTTTATGACTGACGATCAACAGCCATGTAATTGCTTTGTTGTGTTTTACTAAAGAAATCTATTAAGTAGCACAACTTTGATACACTAGTAATAAGAGTTTGCAGGTTACAGAGACACCTGTGGTGACCAAAGCGACAGAAGCTGCTTATTAGAAAGAGCCTGTACAGCTGTGTCCTATTAACTCCTTATGACACTTCTTAAAACACAAAATAAAGGGCTTGTTTAAGGCTTTATAGCTATTCTCAGTGAACCTAGTCACTGATTGTGCGGTACGATAGGGTTTTTAAGCCTTCATTTTTTGCTTTCTATTAACAACAACAAAGAAACTGTCATATTAACAGTGAGGTCAAAAAATAGTGAGGGGTAAACAAGGCATGCTGGCTCGAATCAGAATAATTTCTCGGTTGTGTTTAGTGTCACATCCTGCTCCTTAGAGTGTGATTTCTTCAGAGGGGGCATGATGCTTCCTCTCTCCCTTTGGAAAGTGCCAACGCACTGTAGGCATTCCCATAAATAAATACTCACTACCTCTGTTTAATTACTACACTTTATTATGTGACATGACAACAGTGGTCTTGGAGCCTATCCTGTTCTGTTCCCCTGCACATACAGTTGCATGTAGCTTTTGATTTGAATGGTGAGAAGACAGCAACAAGAACAGGAGAAGGAACTGCTTTTTGCATGCTGGGGCAGCCCAACTTTGCAGCAATCAATAGGGACACCTCAATGTCAGCAGTAAAAGAGGTTTTCAGTAGCTGTAGCATGATATGACTCATTTCAAGCAGATACACAGATCCTTTCTCATATAAGTAAAAAAAATGTTGAATATCCTGGTTTTCTTCTTGCTCTTTGCTGTCCTCTTTCTGACATCTATGGATGTCAGTCTGTTCCAAAAACAGTCTTCATAGTAGTTTCTGTCCTCATTAATGAAATGGGACTTCACTGTCGAACAAAACCAGTGGCAAAATCTTGTCATTTTTCCTGATTTTTTTTAATGTTTCTCAACTGACTGATGTAGAGACGTGCTTTGAATCCTGCGTTACTGTAGACTAGTGCTTTTCAGCTGAAATCTCTTCTTGTTCTTCGACATGCGCTGCGGCAGAGCGAAGGGAGCTGTAGGTAGGGCTACAAGTAAAATGCTGTGTGTGAGCACCAGGGTAACTGTTAGCTGTAGTGTTATGACCACGAGCATTGAGACTTTGGGGGTCAGATTCTGAAAAATTCCTCAAGACCATGACCATTGCGACTTTGGGGGTCAGATTCTGAAAAATTCCTAACTACAGCCACCCAGGACTGTTACTTTGTCGAACTGAAGGAGCACTCTAGTTAATACAGTTAAGAGGATGTTTTGTTTTGGCTTTCACAGCTTTTAATTGTCTCTGACATAAGGTTTGCAGGAAAGGGAGCAGTTGCTTTGGGTAAATGCTGCAAATTATCAATCTTTTCATTACTAGAATAAAGAAATCATAATAAAAGGCACAAAATAATGTAATAAAATAATTAACCTTCATTTAGGAAAACAACATTTTATAATACTTTTAAGGAATCTACATGAAAGCTTTACTACCTATATTTTAGACTTTAGTTTAGTGAGCAACTATGTGGAATATTCTTGTAATTTATGTTGTCCATGGTCAAAGGAGGGGAAAAAACCCACAAAGCTGTGTGTATATCTTTTACTTTTTTTGTTATATTACATGGGGAGGTGTCAGGGCAGTAGCACTGGTGTTTGACAGCAGAGCTGTTGACAATTCTGGCCCTACCTTTTGATCTGAGCACATGGCTGCAGCAGCTCACCAGCTGCATTGGGGCATCACAGGGGCTAAGCGATTCCTCGGGTTCCCAAAGAGGTTATGGGATAGATAACAGGAGAGCCAGATGCGAGCAGCTGGAGTTCTGGCACTTTCTGACTTCAAAGAGATGACTAAATACCATTATTCTAATATAATTATGTGTGTATGTATGGGAGCTGTATGTATTTGTATGTATGCGAGAAAGCACATGCCTAACTATTTTTGTTAATTCATTAGTATACATTAATATATTTGTATCCTGGAGAGATATATAGTGAATATATATACACATACATACCTACACATGCACACTTATGTTTGTACACACAGCATTTACAAACATAGATTATGCATAATATTAACAGATTTCCAGTGTACATAATGTTTGCCAAGCAAAGCAATGCCAAAACCATAAAACAGCCACTCGAATGCTTGGAGCAGGTTTTTAGCTATTGCTGTGGTTGCCCTTGAGCACTGTATTTCAAGGTGTTACCAACTTTTCTCAGCTCTGATGACAGGTACTTGTTAGTTTTAATGTTCAAATGGTAGGTTTTCACTTTGCTTAAGCTTAGCAAAGAGTTAATTGACTAAAGCGCTTCTCAGCAGCAGGTTGTCTTCACCTGCAATTTCTGTCATCAAGTAATTAGCCATATTCACAGTTGCTGACCCTTAGTACTAACCTACTGAATGATGCATGCCTGGATGAAGACCAGTTGACCATATTACTCCAGCTCCCCAATCTTATTTGATCCTTCAGCAAATATCTTGCAGGTGTGGGGTCTGTGAATGCTGGACTCGAGGAGTTAATTTCTCACTGCCTCTTCAGGAGGGACCGTAGATTCTGTATGTGTTGCTTGCAAAACTGTTGGATGTGTTCTTTGGGCACTAAATCCGTAACAGGTTTCACAGAACAGTGTGAAAACCTTATCTATTGTATTTTGCAATATTTTATTTAATTTACTTTAATAGCAATACAGTGCCAGTCAATAAAAACAGGTCAAAAGTCTAATTAATGTTTTAAAAATAAAGGTTCTCAAACACCAGGCGAGTTTGTCATTTTCTGTATGGTTTGTTTTGAGGAGGAAGAGGAAAGAAGGTGAGGAGGGAACCCTTCTGTTCCATGATTACATCCCACCCGCTCATTTTCTCCTTTTCTCCTTTGCTTTTGATTTTAGTGGCGGTCTTAACAGAATGTCAAGATCAATTTGCAGCATGGTTTAACTCAAGGTTTGCATTCTGCCAGCAGCAATTGTCCTAACAAACAATGCCGTGTGTTCTTGTAACTTCAGAAGCTTTTAGAAGGCTCATGGCAAGGGCAGCATCTAATGACTTTATTAGTGTAGGGTTTCAAAATGGGCTCAGTAATTGTTCACATCTCTTTGTCATCTAGTCATAATTACTGCATAGTATTGTTTGGGGTTGCACTTGTGAATAGTTTCCTAATAGCACTGAAATGAAGAAAAAAGGAAAAGGATAAAAGGTGATTGTCTCTTTAGAAGGAGAACAAAACAGCCTGTATATA